GGAGAATTCACAAATACAGGAAAGACGCGCTTCTGACTATTTCGTTACTGCTGATTTAGTTGAAGAATATAGTCAAATGTCTATATCTCATATAGATGCGTTTCAGTCAAAAACCAATAAAAAATGGTAATCTTTTGCCACTTCTGAGAGATTATAGGTCTTTGGGAAATATTGGTTCCAGATCTTGGAAGACCATTTACGTGCAACATCTACCAATAAATTGGAGATGAGCAAATTAGTTTAAGTTGCTATTATTCGAATATTAGAGAACGAAACCTGATGGTTTTCTTTTATTATTTGTCACAATATCTTGTGGAATTCTTTCGAGTATCTCGCCTATATAAACTGTATCGTTTATTATAGTGTTGTAGGGTATTCAACGGTCGGCCCCGCTCGACTGTAGCCTTTGCTTACTTGTTTTAACTATTCGCATTTTTTTCATATGGCATTTCTTATTAAACTACCGGTGTATGTTTGTTTATTAGCCAAAATATTTTCTTATAATATTTCATTGATTTATTAATGAGTTTTCCCTACCAAACAAAAAACAACTCAAAAGTGGTGATTAATTAATAGTTGACTGAAATTTCAGAAGCAACTCGTGTCCAATGTAATTGTTTTTGCAAATGGAAATTGTGCAAGTTTTTCTTTTCTCTCTCACACAAAACGGACTACATACAATATACTTTTAAGAGTTTCCCAATGATGAAAATGTAGCCAAGTGAGGCTATTTTCCTATTGTTTGTTTACATCAGATACAACAACACAAACAAACATTTTGGGAGCCACAATTGCCATCGTCATAGTTAGTTGGCGTGTGCTAGTTTGAGGTGAAAATATCCCCCAAAAATAAATATTGAAGACATGAAATTGAGGGATCACATTGGAGCAAAATGGAACAAAATTTGAAATTTGAAACACAAAGAAAACCGTATCTATAAACAAGTTAAAAAGCAGTAAGTTCGTCTGGGCCGAACTTTGAATACCTTCTACCATTTGGAACGAATTTGGAAATTTTCGAAAAATAAAATCCGTTAAAAATTCTGTTAAAGTCTTAAAAATACCGAATATAGCCGTTATATTGGGGTTAATACAACAAGGACCTACATAGGCATTTTTTGCCATAAGCCCTTACCATATTCAAATTCGAAACTTGAAATAAACGATGAATAATGTAGCTAAACTCATCAAAATACCATATATAGGGAGGTACCGTTATATCGGAGTTATACGAAAACGTGGACCTGCATAGACAATTTTCTGCCATAGGCTGTAGCATTCATTACGAACTTCAAATACGACATCTCAAACAATTACGGTGAGTATTGTACCTAAAATCGTCAAAATACCGAATATAGGGAGGTACTGATATATGGGGACTATACGAAGACCTGGATCTGCATAAACAGTTTTCTGTCACAGACTGTAGTTCCCATTACGAACCTCAAATACCAAATTTGAAACTACTCCGGTGAATAATGGCGTTAAAATCTTCAAAATACCGAATATTGGGAGGTACCGTTATATGGGGGCTATACGAAAACGTGAACCTGTACAGACAATTTTCTGTCATAGGCTGTAGTATCCATTACGAATTTCAAATACCAAAATTTAAACCAATTCCGGTGAATAATGTCGCTAAAATCATCAAAATACCGAATATTGGGAGGTACCGTTATGTGAGGGCTATACGAACCTGCACAGACAATTTTCTGACATAGGCTGTAGTATCCACTACGAACTTCCGAATATCGGGAGGTACCGTTATATGGGGCTATATGAAAACGTTGACCTACATAGCCTACTTTCCGAACTTAACCTGCCTAGTGGCAAAATAAACATGTGTGAACAATTTTAGCCTTATGAGTCAATTCTTTCGAAAAATAGCGTGATTACAACAGACGGACTGTCAGACAGACGGACATCGGGATTGGGATTTTTTTTTTTTAGAATTTTATATGTTCAGAAGAACTATATTTTTCCACAGAAGATATCTATAGAAGACCTTTGTACCTTCAAAATATTTTTGATAAATATCTGTATTAAAGTTTTGAAAAGTTTTGTTTAAGTTGTTTTGAACACTTTTCAAGAGTTTTTGCCTTTAAAATATCTTTTATTCTTTATTTTGGGTAATTGGGTAAATTTTATTAACTTTTAAATCATTTTTTTTAACGAAAACATTATTTTTTTCTCCTTTTCATCACACAGTGCACAGATTATTTTTGGGGATAAACGCAACAACATGCACATATAGGCAACACGACTGTATACACTGGCACTGGACCATCGGCCGTCGGTACAGAAGAAATAAACTAAACAAGCAAAAAAAAAAATCATTTAAAACATTGAACTAATTGTATTTAATTTTTTCCTCGTTTTTTGAGCATTATGATTTTTCATTTGACTTGCTTTTTTCATTAACAAAAAATTTTAATAATAATTTATTTTTCCAAACACAACCAGCCGCATCTTAGATTCCAAATTTTTCATTAGCTTCTTGTGTGGGGATCTAGCTGTTGGTTGGCTGGCTGGCATTATTTCATAATATTTTATTTTTTCAACAATTTAATTGCCACTCAAAACGTTGTGAATTGATGTCTAGGAATGCCAAAAATGATTTTTCTTCTCAATCATTACGTCTAATTGTGGTAATAATTTTTAAATATCGTTATTATTTATTTTTATATTTAATTACTTTTTTTTAGAATTTCTATATTTTGGAAAGCGTCGTGTTATTGGGGTTTCTTTAATTTTTCGTTATTATTTTCCTCCTGTTCTACACAATAAACACCATGGACCATTGATGATTTGGCCGCCACATTTTGACTTCGGTCCGTCACAACGCACACTCGTGTGTGGCGCAACAACAAAAAGAAAAGGGTTCAATGTTCTTCGATCGCCTAAAGTGCACTTTCTTTCTTTCTTCCCGACCACGTAACGACCACAACCGATCTCTTGCACAGATCCACGAGAACTAAGGAAAATGTTCTTAGCCAAACAACTTGATTGTGGAAATCTCCTTTGGCTGAGAGAGTTTTGCCGGAAAATTAGTTTTGTTGAGGAATCTACTCTGTGTATATTTTGGAAAATGAGAAATCTCTATTTTAGATTATTCTCTTTGCTAAAAGAGAGAGAGAGAGAGTGAAAGAGAGTTGGTCCTCACATTACAATGCACTTCTAAAATATGAAAATTTGACTTGAAATATATTTTATATTTTTTTCTCAATCCATTTCAAATATTTTTTTTAATAATTTATTTAACTATTTATATATCATTTATCTATAATTTACCTTTGTGTATATTAATTTTATTATTTATTTATGTATTTATTTATTTATTTCTAATCTAATACATTTTTAAAATTAGTACAGAATCATATATTGTTTTTATCTTATTTTTAAAATATTACAACATTTCTATATACCAAACGTGGTATGTTAGTATTTTTCGTACCTGTAATGGACATCTATTGCAAATCTAACTTCACCCATTCTTAATACATAATACAACAATTTTTATTTCCCATACACCTTACCGAATTTATTTCTTTTTGTACATTATATAGCACGCATTTCCAAAAACTATTTACCTTCATAGCAAAATTCACAATTTCAGCGGTCTTCCGACATTCATGTCAAATTTGATGTCACTTAGTATCTTTCGTACAGGTTGTAAATTCGGTTCATTATCTAAACAGGGTGAGATAAAAAAACTGCAACAAAGTCAAACGCCATAATTTTTACATTTTTTTAAATATTTATTGAATGAAAGCAAAAAATGTCGGAAATAGCATCAAATTTTAGAATAAGTTTGGATTTGTTCGAATTGGTCACCTTTGGCGCGAATTATGGCCTTCAACCGGCCAATGAAACCATCACATGCTGCCTGAATGTTGCTCTGTGGTATTTTACTCATTCCCGGCGAAGCGCTTGCATGAGGTGATCGACACTTTGTATTTTTATTATTTATTTATTATTTTCGCGATAATATTCACCATTTATTCTGACGATCATTTTTATGTTTACAAATTGCTGGACAACGAATGTTTTCTCATCGGAGAAAAGCAAATTCTGCAGTTCACCACTTTCGACCAATCGAAGCAACTCTTTAGCTCTTTTAAGTATTTCTATTGCGGTATAAGTTCTTGCACTTTTTGGAATTTCAATGGTTTACCCCGAGTTTATCTTTCAATATTTGCCGAATGGAATTTTGCGATATGTTCAGCGCACGAGCCTTTTTGCGGCCACTGCGACGCGGGTTTCGATCAAGTCGCGTCTTTTCTTTTTGAACCATTTTTGCTGATGTTGCTGTTTTCTTTCGTCCACTTCCTTGACGTTGGGGTACCAGTATCACGGTAAAGAGCGATGGTACGAGACACAAAGGATTTATTCACATTTAAATGCTGAAGTGCTCTAACGATAGCCACTTGTGGTTTTCTAGCCAAATATAAAGAAATCACACGCTTGAATTCCATCACGAATAACTTTTTGTCTGGAAAATTCTCACCAAAATGCTTTTGTACGCTTATAAACAATATAATGACCTGTCACTGGAATAATTTTAACGGCTGTCGGACGAGAAGCTGAGAAATTACAGCAGTCTGAATTTGGTTGCAGTTTTTTCGTCTCATCCTGTATGTACTTTTTTTATCTATCAACTGTCTGTCTTCGTACACAATCCGTTTGGATGCGTTAGTCATCCACAAATTATTTCTTTATTTTAACGACAAACACAAAAACGTAAACATAATTTGATTACATATTTTGAATTCACTTTTAAAGTAATTGCTTTTTTTAGTTCAAACAAATGGGAAATGATTTTGGAGAATGTATTCGAAAATAATCGTATAAAAACACAACCAATACATTTGGCCGATATTCTTATCACTATAGGCGTGTGCTTCCATCATTCCATTAGATTTTAGTGTCATATCATCGTGACGTATCTTCAAAATTCTAAAAAACAAACTGATCATATATTGTATGCTGTAAAAAGTATTCGCCATCCGTAGTCTAAAGACTAAGGTCGTTGTTACAACGCGTTCTAATCAATTGAATTATTATTTTGAATTATTGAATCTAAACAGAATTTAAATAAAAATCTACATTATAAAGAATTTTCGAAGTGAGTAACAATATGTCTATTGTGTGATGTCGAACTTTTTTAATAAATAACACTAAGTGAAATTAGCTGTCCTTAAAATTTGTGGATTGCCTTGCATGGTTGCAATTAGGTGAATATGATAACGTTTTCATTGTAGACTACTCAGTAATTTGTAATGGGAGAATGCTCTCTCTCTCTCTCTCTCTCTCTCTTAGAGATTTTTTTCTCCCTCCCGATTCTCTAAAATACCACCAAGACCCTTGCAATAATATAATATAGCATAAAAATAATTAAAAACTTCAAAATTTGGCAGTTTTTAACTGAAAATATAAGTAAAACGTAAAAAAATACTCGAAATCGGTGTATAATGCAATATGAGTACTATACTTCAAAGTAGACAGATGAATCATTGGTGAAGAATTACCAATGATTCTGGGTGTTATCAAAAATCTCTATCAAATTTCAAAATTCAATCCTAAATTTTGCGAATTATATCTCAAAATAATGATCAAGACAATTTGGAGTCCTTAGAAAAGTTTGGTTTTTTGAGTACCGACAAAAATTGGTAACTTTAAGACCCAAAATTTTGATATAAAAAATAAGTCTAACTTACCGACAAAAGTTAGTTAGAGAATTCAACTACTGAAGCTCCTTTTGTGTTTAAATCTACAAACCGAGTACTATGAAATCTACCCGAAATTTTCAACAACTAGACTGGCTCTTCTTCGGCGAACTTATAGAAAAATTGCACTAAATTGGAATACATTGCAAAATTTTCGAGAATAAAACCAGTAAAGAAAGTCTTAAAGACGCGCGGGGCCGACTTTATGATACCCTACACCACTTTGCTAATTTAGTAGAGCTCCGCATAGCAATTAAAAGTTTTTATGGGAGAATTCAATCATACACGCTATGGTTATAATTATAATTTAAAGTTCAAAGGACTAAATATGCCGAAGCATTTGTATAATTTAAATTCGGAATTGTATTGCCCATTTGGTGCGAAATTAATTTAAAATCGGATAAAGACATATATGTGAGCTAATCCAAATCTGAATTGATCTCGATAAAATTTAGCAAAGATATTTCTGAGCTGTATTTCATATATTTCCCTGAATATCGTTGTTACGGAGTGCATATTACGGTTGTGGGTAACAAATATAACAAATCGGATGAATAATATATATGGAAGCAATAGCTTCACCAAATTTGACATACTAGCTTCTAGACTCGGTCGCATGTGCCAAATTCCATCCCATTTGGGCAAATATTAGACGTTTGGTGCACAATAAAAAGTAAATCGGACCAAGATATATATGGGAGCTATATCCAAATCTGAACCGATCTCGATAAACTTTAGCAAATGTATTTCTGAGCTGTATTTGATATATTTCCCCGAATATTGTTGTTGCAGAGTTCATATTACGGCTGCGGAGGACAAAAATAACAAATCGAATGAATAATATATATGGGAGCTATAGCTATATCTGAACCGATTTCGATCAAATTTGGCATACTTATTTTCAGGCCTAATTTGGGTGTATATGCAAAATTCCATACAATTCAGACTGATATTACACGTTTGGTGCACAATATAAGGCAAATCGGGAGCTATATCTAAATTTTTACCGATTATCTCCAATTTCAATAGGGTTCGTCCTTGGACCAAACAAATGATCTGTGCAAAATTTAGTCTGTATCGGGCAATAAATGCGACTTGTACTTTGTTTACAAAAATACATGGACAGACGGACGGACGGACATGCATAAATCGACTCAGAATGGGATTCTATGCAGATCATCAAAAGGAACTATGGGTCTATCTCGTTTCCTTTTGCCTGTTACAAACAAATGCACAAAGACATAATACCCTGACCACCTTGTGGTGTAGGGTATAAAAAGTTGATAATGTTTTTCCATAGTACATATTGAATATACAAATTTCGTTTGTTCAGAGACTCACAAAGCTTTCCTAAAAACTGAAGTATTAATAGAAATTTTATATAGAAAGTGTTAAAATAACGGTAACAAACGCAAACACTTATTTAAAATTTTTGTACATCAATTTCGAATGCATTTTTTATTAAAACTGTTAAACCTAGATTCACAATTTATTCTAAGACTAATAGTGAAATTTTGTGTAGAAACATTCTTCCTTTAGTACCTTCTGACAAAACTGAAATGTTATGTTACTTTAAGACATCAAATCGAAAAAAAGGACGTGGAAAATTGATGATGAAAATAAAAAAAATATTTTCGTGGTAATATTGATGTAAATATTATGTTGATATACAATGGACATAGAAATTTAATTTCCTTGGTGACTTAGGATGAAATTGAATGGAGAATATTTTTTGGATTTGACTTTGTACTTCTAAAATCATGTTTTTTTTTTGAGAGATTTCTGCATAAACGCTTTAACCACAAAAGCTGTTTTAAATCCAGGGTGAGTTGAAAAAACTGCAACCAACATCAGACTGCTGTCATTTTTAAGCCACTCGTCCGACATCTGTTAAAATTATTCCAGTGACAGCTCATTTTATTGTTTACAAGCGTAGAAAAGCATTTTGGTGAGAATTATCCAGAAAAAAGTTATTCGTGATGGAATTCAAGCGTGATAGCGTGATTTCTTTATATTTGGCTGGAAAACCACAAGTGGCTATCGTTAGAGCACTCCAGTATTTAAATGTGAATAAATCCTTTGTGTCTCGTACCATCGCTCTTTACCGTGATACTGGTAGCCTAGCCCGACGTCAAAGAAGTGGACGAAAGAAAACAGCAACATCAGCAGAAATGGTTCGAAAAGTAAAGAAGCGACTTGATCGAAACCCGCGTCGCAGTGGCCGCAAAAAGGCTCGTGAGCTGAACATATCGCAATATTCTATTCGGCAAATATTGAAAAATGAGCTCGGGGTAAAGCCATTGAAATTCCAAAAAGTGCCAGAACTTACACCGCAACGGAAAGAAAATAGACTCAAAAGAGCTAAAGAGTTGCTTCGCTTGGCCGAAAGTGGTGAACTGCCGAATTTGGTTTCTCCGATGAGAAAACATTCCTTGTCCAGCAGTTTGTAAAGAAAGTAAGAGCTCAAGCGCCGGCCATGAAGAAGGAGTGGGCCGTCATAACAGCCGATGGTCGCTCTCCGCTCGTATTAATCGACCGTGGCATCAGAACAAATGCCGAATATTATCGCGAAAATATTCTGGAAGGTGTATTAAAGCCTTGGGCACGCAAACATTTTGGCCGCAGACCTTGGACATTCCAAACAGGACTCAGAACCATCGCACCCAGCACGCGCCACCAAAAAATGGTTACAAAATGAGGTTCCTCGCTTCATTTCTAGCGCACAATGGTCACCAACAACTCTGGACACCAATCCGTTGGACTATTGTGTCCGGAGTATTTTGGAAAGCAAGGTTGGCACTAACAAAATACCAAAGTGTTGATCACCTCAAGCAAGTGCTCAGCCGGGAATGGGCCAAAATACCGCAGAGCAACTTTGGGGCAGCGTGTGACGGTTTTATTGGCCGTTTGAAGGTCATAATTCGTGCCAAAGGTGACCAATTCGAACAAATCTAAACTTATTCTAAAATTTTATGCTATTTCCGACATTTTTTACTTTCATTCAATAAAATTAAAAAAAAAAATAAAAATTATGGCGTTTGACTTTCTTGCAGTTTTTTTTTATCTCACCCTGTATGTTTGTAGACAAGATTTAAACTTTTGTTGTATTATGGGATCTGTAGTAGAATTCAATGGCAAGTAATCTTGTAAATTATCTTGACTCTCGTTTTAAGGAAGTTTTTTTTAACAATTAGAAAAAGATACCAAAAAGTCCCATTTTTCAGATCTATATCCGAAAGTTTCAAAAAAATGTAAAAGAATGCCCTTTCTATTTAAATTACTATGTGATCTGAACTTTTAAACGCCAAGACACGTGTCTAATATTTTTAGCTCTAGTTTCATCATCTGCGGGATTTTTCCTACTTTTATTTAAGAAAATGGATTTTTTCACATAGTGTAATTTGTACAAATTATTACAAAATGTTGTTCGATAGCCAAGAGTCCAAAAAAAACAGTTTCTATCAAACTCCTACCTATATATGAGATTTATAAGGTTTTATCAGGTTCTGAAGTTAATAAAACCAACAAACTATCCCCTAAACGCAATTATACACATAAATCTGGCAACATATATACATGCGTATCTCAACTTATTCGACAATTGCAAAGAACCATAGAAACATGCGTATCTACACAAAAAATCGAAAAACATATGCATCTCAGAAGTTCAATTTGTGTGTGATTTGTTCTGAGATGGAAGAAAGCAAGTCAAATTTAAAGACTCGACCTTTTTAGGGCAAAAAACTGTAAATAAAGCAATAGAGACTTTGTATCAAAACACTTTCAATAGATCTTGCAACAAGTGAGTATTTTAAAACTGTTTCAAATAAATAAAATCAATATAATTTCGGCTGAGTGTAATGTCTATATATCAGGGAGAAAGAACAATTTTTAAAGTCCAATTAATTATGGCATCGCACATTCAAGAACTTGACAGTTGTTTGAACTTACGGCGCCATTTCATGGCAGTTCTAAATAATATATGTCCATATTATGCTCCTCCGAACGTAATTCATTTAATTTAAAACTGAAAACAAGCCAATCTTATACACAAAGATACGTTTTGTCGAAACTTGGAAAATCTTATCATTTATGTCATTTTCAATACCAATAATTTTACACATAATGCAAGCGATTATGGTAAATTTCAGATACTGCGTCAAATAATGGGGTTTTTTATCTCGTTTACAACAGACAGACGGGCATCAATAAATCGTCGTAGAATTCATTTTCACGAATACATAAAGACGTTGCAAATGGAAATATATGCTTCATTCTATGTCTAATTGTCAAATTTTTAAGAAGGACAAAAGTGTACAATTCTCTCCTACGTTATGCAATGGCTTAAGGTTCGCAAAATTTCGTTTTTATATCTTTCAGATCAAATACTGACATGGTACAAGACAGGATTTTGGTAAAATGTGGAGGCTTTACCTCACAACTTGTAAAATATGTTGGAAATAAAGTCGACGGAGATCCTCTATGGGGTTCACGTTTCGATTTGGAAAATCCAGAGGCCGTGATTAGAACACATTTGGACTTTCTGGAAAGTAAGCGGCTGATTAAATGTTTATATAAACATAAATGTAGTATTTACAAAATGTAACTATTTTTCAGATGGAGCCCAAATCATTTCATCGAATACATATCAAGCCAGTGTCGAAGGTTATATGAAATATTTGAACCTCAACAGAGATCAAAGTATTCAACTTATACGCAAAAGTGTTAAATTGGCCAAAGAAGCCAGAGAAAGATATCTAGATAATCTCAAAGCCACAAGTGGGGCTTGCAATGAAACCATTTTGGTTATGGGTGCTGTGGGACCCTATGGCGCTGTCTTACATGATGGTTCCGAGTATTCCGGAAATTACACAGATATAATAACCAAAGAAGAATTACAAAATTTCCATCGCACACGCATAGATGCATTACTGGCCGAAAATGTTGATGGTTTAGCCATTGAAACTATGCCAAGTCAAAAAGAAGCCGAAGCTGTTACAGAAATGCTTCTCAAAGATTATGCCAATGTTAAATTTTGGATATCATTTCAATGTAAAGATGATCAACATTTAGCCCACGGTGAAAAGTTTGCCAACGCTGCTAAAACCGTATGGGATATGGTAAGAAGGCAATATGGTGCTAAGGCGCGTGAATATATTTATGGAATTGGTGTGAATTGTGTTAATCCCAAGGTAAGTACACATATAATTTAAATTTTAATTGATTAATGGTATTTTGTCTCTAGAAGGCCCTTAGAATTACCTCTATTTGTAGACATTTTAAACTAATATTCTATCCTATGAGAAGAATCTTAAAGTCTTCTAATATCTTAAGGCCTTCTATAAAGTTATGATTCTCTACAGACGCAGGATCTTTTAAAGATCTGCTATAGATATAATTCCTTTAAAAAGACTCATACATTTTTACAATTGATATTTTAATTCCACTCTTCTTCTTTGATTAAAGTTTGTCTCGAATCTCTTCAAATCCTTACACAGTCTACTGGGTAATGAAGATATTCCCCCATTGATGGTCTACAGTAATAGTGGCGAAATATATGACACATCTAAAGGCGAATGGACTGGCCGAGACAATTGTATACCCATGAAAATGTTTGTTCGTGAATGGATACGTTTGGGAGCTTCAATAATTGGCGGGTGCTGTCGTGTATATCCCGAAGATATTTACCAAGTACGGCACTTAATCAATAGCTTTTCGAATTAATTACATAATTAAAGAGTACTTTAGCAAATAAAGATTTATACTGAAAGCTTGTACAAAAAAGTTTTAAAATAAAAATAAATATTTTTTGGATGCAGATTGCCGGCGTCATGGAATGAGCCACAATTCGTTTATGTTAATGTTGTATTTCTATTTTTTTATTCAGTTACCTAAGGGATACATTACACTTCAGTGACAACGCATATAATAAATGAATTTATATTTTATTGTTTTTGATCATTTTTATAGTTGTATCAACAAGATTTGGGGTTTTAAAAATAACAGTGAAATACAAGAAAAAACAAAGAAATAATATTATGTAGTTTTTTTTAAATAAAATTGAAGTTTGGTATATTGTCACCTATATCATGAAAAAGAATTGATACAGATAATAGACAGCGGCGTGAGCAGCTCTTCAAATGCCCTCCCCAGTCATCACCATACATAAATAGAGATAAGGTGACTGACTGACTGGTAATAAATTATCGAAATCAAAGTTCTTCATAGAACATGCGAAAAATGTTTCTATGAAAAGCAAAATGCAACAGTTCATCTAGTTCTTTGGAAAAACAAACGGTCTTATCATCAACATAATTTTCATTATCATAATTATGAACATTTCCTACAAATAAGGAAGATAAAAAGCAAAGTTAGAGTCTGGAACAAAAGACAGACGAATAAGGAGTGATTGATTTGTTTCTTTAGTAGGTGGTTCTTGGGGGTTTGTAATTGGTCCAATGTATTTATTGGTACTTGGCTAATGTTGGCATTGGTACATAACCGCGATTGTCACGGAATGTAGGCTTGACAAAACCACCGGCCGATCTGAAAGATAAGTGTTACAAAATTATTCCAGTGTTTACATTTATATAATTTTGTGTCAATCTTACCTCCAGAACAGGGAACTACCACGCTTCAGCTCGTTTCTGGCTTGCAAATCGTTGAAACAATCCAGCCAGCCAGAATATTGTGGCATAATTGGTGGTTGGCCGGCCATGAGACGAGAGCCCGTAACAGCCATACAGGTGGATACCACATTAAGGGGATATAAAATGCTTGAAAATGCAAACTATACGGCAGAAAAAGAAAGTCCGTTGATATTTAGTTGAGAAATATTCCTAGCCTTTTACCAACCTGTGTAAAACCAGCGGTGTACTGGCGACCCAATTTGTCTTTAACAGCGTATTTGTTAATCATAAACACCGTGGAGCTGGTCAACACCAAACAAGCCACATCGCACAATAGCTTGGGTACAAGACCCGAAAAGAAGCCCATTATGCCTTCAGATTTATAAATTTCTGCTATAGAACCCAATATCGATTTGTACAAGGTTTCGCGGCCAATAAACTGGGCCATCATGCGCACCGAAATAACATGGAACGGATGGGATACAATAATGCCCGATACACTGAGAACAATGTCCCTCTTCAGATTGTGTTTGAATTGGAAATATCTGTTGGAGAATATCGATTAAAACTCACATATAAAACCTGACTTGAATATAACTTGCAGTTCTTCATCACTTAGATTGACATCATCTTTTGGCTCCTCAAGCGGTTTCAATCCCAAGCGATCGGCTATTTTTTCACTCAAGACCATGCTGCAAATTGAACCCACCAATTTGGGAGTCAGGCCACGATAACAACCATAAAAGCCATCAATTTTACGTATATGACCAGCTGAAAACCACAATTACTCATTAAAGGATGACTTCATAGCCCGAAAATTTGTTTCTCTATTCCTTACCATATTGAAAGATATTGGGCAACACCATTATTGGTCGTCCCAAGATGGAACGTCCTGGCACGGCAGCAATTGGTTCGTAGCCCAATTGTATCAATACCTTGGAATACTCCAGAGGATGTAGAGCAGCACTCACACCCAATCGCATACCAAAACGCATCCATTCTGCGACTTCCTTATTTTGTTGAGGATCTTCATTTTCGACCAAAGAAGGCATTTTGTTCCGTTTATTCACAAACAAAATTCAACAAATTGATAATTCAATCGCACGGAGCCTGGTAGGATTTTATAATTCTAACGAATTCTTTCTTTAAGGCTGTCGATGGGTGGTTATTATGGAACAACACCGGCGACTAGGGATAGGTAAGTCGACATTCGATTAATCGACTTTGAGCTGTCAAAAAGTCAGGTTATGACAGGGTTGCCGTGACTAGAGTTATTTGATATGACGACATTCAAAAATATTTTTGCAGCACATATTTTTCTTACTTTCGAATTTAATAGTAGATAGTATTTTGAACCATTTTCTTTAAAAAAAGTTAAGCTTTTTGTCCTCTTTTCAATTGGCTTTCCTTTTTAGCATTACGTATTTACCTATATATATTCACCCTTAACGTATGCCGTACGTCTTATAAGTACTTGAGGGGTATGTTCAGTGCAAATGTAAACAAAAATGGGGGGTGGGTGAGAACATGCTTATTACTGAACAGACTGCGCATCAATCACAATGTTTCGTTATTTGTTGGAATTCTCATATATTGGAACAGGATTCCGGTATGTTTAGGAAAAACGTGTGAATAATTATGAAATAAAGTTGATTTCTTTTCACCAGGGGCATTCAAAAAACTATAATCAAGTCCGATCCGAGTTTTGTAGACCTGAAATCGGTGCAGGGATGTTTGGATGTGGCTCTGCAAGTATTTCGACCGGTGAATGAAATACAGACTGTGATATCAAGTAGGTGAGTAGGTCAATTAAAATTTAAATAATTTAACAATGTCTTTCATTTACAGGACTGATGCCGGAGTCCATGCTTTGCATTCAACTCTACATGTTGATTTACAACGTGCAGATGGTAGTCCTTATGTTGAGGAAACCATAACTGGTGTTTTAAATCGCACATTATATAAACAGGGATTGCCCATTAGGCTGATAAATACCCGTATAGTGCCGGACACATTTCACTGTCGTTACAGTGCTTTGGGCCGCACTTATTTGTATCGCATTGCAGTTGCCAAGAATGGCATAAAGGATTTGGATACCCAAAATAAGCACTTCGAATCATTTATACCCGTGGAGGAATTAGATCGTTGTCATTTTCTGCAGTAAGTTGAAAAAGCACATGCGATTATGTGAATATGTCTGCCTTATTCATAAATATTGAAACCTTTGCAAAGATCTTCAATCCATATTTGAAAGTTCTTATATTTATAGAATTATTTTCGAAGGGCTTTTATAGAACACCTACGAACGAACAATGTATGGAAGAGCTCTACAAGGAAAATCTTAAAATTCTTTAAAACACCTTCAATAAGTATTTTTTATGTGAAATACTTCTAGAATACCATTTTTCTATTAAAGAACTTTTTGTGAGAAGGTCTATGGAATGTTTTCTAAAAGACAACTTTTAGAGGCTATTTTACACCTTGATGGTTTTTATAAGGTCGTCTATCCATCGAATATATTTCCTCTTGATTTGTCTATATGAGACTGAATTATTAAAAGATCTCTTCTCTTTTGCAGCAAAGCCACCTTCGATGTTGAACGTATGAGACAGGCATCCCGCATGTTTGTAGGACGACATGATTTTCGCACCTTCAAAAGCCAGGATCGTCAGAAAAGTGCATCACGAGATCATCCTATGTTTACGGTTCGACGGATCGATGAAATCAATATAAAACCTGGTCGATCTGCTTGTACAGGAGTAAATGCCAAATTGGCAGAAGAGTTATATGACTATTGGGATATAGAAGTAAAAGGCAAATCATTCCTCTATAAACAAGTAAGACGTATTGTGGGCTCACTTATAGCATTGGCCACAGATCGTATCAATGAGAAATGTATTTATGAAATGTTAACAATACCCTCGAAGCATAATTGGGATCCTCGGTTACAAATTGCACCAGCGTATGGTTTATATTTGGCGAGGGTGCATTACAATGAGGAGGATTTAAGAGTCGATAATAAGTAATAGGATCGAAACCTAAAAGTTGAATAAATTAAAACAAAATGAGTTTCCTTGAAGCTTTGCAAGCTAAACGTAATAAAATGAAGAGCTGTGAGACAATTGTGACCACTGCCACGGGAGAGCGTTTTAAAGAAAATACCACTACTCAGGAAAAGAAAAAACTAGAACAAGAAACGAACTCCAATTCTTATGGTTTTGTGATTGATACCAAACCGGACTTCAAACCAGCTTGCATTTTACCAAACCACCTCTATTTTGGTTCTCAAGACTCAGTGACATTGGAAAATATTTTAGAATATAAATTAACACATATTTTAAGTATTGGCATAGAATGTCCTCTAAATGATTTACCAGAGGGCATTAGTAATTTATTTATAAATTGTTTAGATTTACCAGAAACTGAATTAACAAGTGGAGTATGGGACCAGGCATTTGAGTTTATACAAAATGCCATGGCTAAAGATGGTTGTGTTTTGGTCCACTGTAATGCTGGCGTATCGAGGTCAGCTAGTGTTGTCATTGCTTATCTCATGAAATATCAACACATGGATTTTGACATGGCCTACCGATATGTTAAATCGAGACGTGAATGCATACAACCAAATGCAGGATTTCTAAAGCAATTACGTAGTTTTAAGTAACAAAATAGTTATAGAGTTTTATATTTACTAACACAGTTAATGTATAAAAGAAATTAAATATTTTTTGCTTCTAAGAAATGTTGAGGTCTTATCTAAAATCGATTAATTTGAATAACTGCAATCTATTTGGAAATATTCGCGTTTAAGATTTCATTAGTTAAGAAATAAAGATCAGCCTAAAAATATACCTCATTTTTTGAAAAATGCTCTAAACCAATGATCACACGAGGTAGAAATAGGAAATCAATGTTAGATGCATACAAAGCTGTTAAGGTTTAAGTACATGCCTAAGCATGAAGTCATGGCTAGGCATATTTTGTGACATTTTTTAAAAGGGATTACAGAGCCGCCTTTAAATCCTGCCGTTGTTTTCCTTTATAATTTGACATTAATATGCCTAGGCATGACTTCAAGCTTTCTATGTACTTGCACCTTTAGGTTTGGATATGACACAAGTTCTTCGAATTTTTAAGGCTGTTTAAGAACTACAATAGTGTTTGTAGTAAAAAAAACAAAATTGGCTATGAAGATTTAATCAATAAATAAAATATCCAAAGAATTAGCAATTACAAAATGTTTAACAGAAATTTGAATAAAAATAAACCAAACAAAAAGAAACCCAATACCAAGCCTTATCGTGAAACATTTCTTGGTCGTATCTTCCAAAGGATCCTGGGCAGTGGTATACCCATACAAAAGGCATTGAATGCCATTCTCTTGGGTTATCTTTGTGGAATCGTTCTAACAGTGTGTTGGTATAAATGTTTTTCGGGAAATCATGTAAACACTACCCGGTGGTGCTCTCTTATTATCTTGGGATTTATTATCATATTTTTATCCTACAGCAAGGACGTACGGTAAGTTTTAACGAAGATTTGAGAGAAATTTTAAACAGTTGTATTTTTTCTATACCCTTTACCATAAGATGGAGGAGGATTACATTTCGTTAGTACATCGAGGCGAAATAAACAAAAAGTTCGGCAAGTTGGAGGTTACAAATTAGATGAAGATTAATAAATGAAATTTAGCATAAGTGTTTGAACTACTCCAACGATGTTGGACATTGAAAATGGGCTTTATCCAATGGTGACTCTCGTTTTGGATATTTCCGTCGTTACTTTCAACCAAATCAACTGTAATTTGGGGTATCGTATTATTATGTCCATACAAATAAGCTATAATTAAGTGGCAAAGATTTCCAAATAAATCAATTGTATTTTACTTTTCAAGTTCTCAGTGGGTAATTTAATTTCTCACACCCTTATTTTCTATATTTCGAAACTTTTCGTACCAAATTTAATATAAAATCACAAATAATTTGATATATCGAGTCCTTAGTAGGTAGCTTAGCTCCTCTCGAAATATATTTAATTTCTGTCTACGTTTTGCCATAACCCCATAATGTTTACACCCTGATTTTGGTTATTTAAAAGTTTTGGTCCCCATTTCCAAGCAAATCAGCTGTGATTTGATATTTATGGTTCTCAGAGGGTAGTTAAACTTCTGGCAAAAAAAAAAAAAAAATATTTAATGGGCGGATGAACATTTCATTGGCTACTTTAGCCCCAAATCAGATGTAGTTTTATGTTTCGGGTTCTCAGTGAGTGGCAAGGAGTTACCTCGCGAAATATATCCAATGGAGGTTCCTTTTTTCATATAGCCCCATATACCTCCTGATTTTTATTCTTTTTATACCCTCCACCTTGGAAAGGAGGGTATATTAACTTTGTCATTCCGTTTGTAACATCCCTAAATATTCGTCGTAGACCCCATAAAGTATATATATATTCATAATCAGCATAAAATTCTAAGTCGATTTAACGATGTCCGTCTGTCTGTCTGTTGAAATCACGATACAGCCCACATTATTGGACCTAGAGCGCCAAAATTTAGCAGAGCAATTTGTATTGTGTCTAGGTGGGTTGGTATTGAAAATGAGATATGTATATCGGTCCACGTTCTGGTATAGTCCCCATATAACGGTACCTCCCGATATTCGGTATTTTGATGGTTATTGCTACATTTTTTCACGGATTTGTCTGAAAATTGGTATTTGTAGGTTATAACGGGTCCCTGTACGTATGGCAAAACATTGCATGTATAAGTCCACGTTTTGGTATAGCCCCCGTATAAAGGTACCTCCCAATATTCGGAATTTTGCTTATTTTTGCCACATTTTTTCACGGATTTGTTTAAAAATTGGTATTTGTTGGTCATAATGGGTTCCAGCTCCGGTAGCATGTATGGTTGCATGTATGGGTCCTCGATTTGGTATAGCCCCCATATAACGGTACCTCCCGATATAAGGTATTTTTATTTTTTGCCACATTTTTTCACTGATTTGTCTAAAAATTGGTATTTGTAGGTCATAATGGGTTCTAGTTCGTGTGGCGAAACATTGTATGTATAGGTCCAAGTTTTGGTATAGTCCCCATATATCGGTACCTCCCAATATTCGGTATTTTGATGATTTTTGACACATTTTTCTCTGAAAATTGGTAGTTGTAGATCATAATGGGTCCCAGTTCGTGTGGCGAGTCATTGTAATTATAGGTCCGCGTTTTGGTATAGCCGCCATATAACGGTACCTCCCGATATTCGGTAATTTGATGATTTTTGCCACATTTTTTCACGTATTTGTCTGAAAATTGGTATATGTAGGTTATAATGGGTTCTAACTCCGTTGGCGAAACGTTGCATGTGTAGGTCCACGATTTGGTATAGCCCCCATATAATGCTACCTCCCGATATTCAGCATTTTAAAGGTTTTTTCCACGTTTCTTCTATTGTTTCCTTTACCCTAACGTGGAGGGTATTAAAAGTTTGGCCCGGCCGAACTTAATGTTTTTTTACTTGTTATATTTTACGGATTCTCGGTGGTTTCTTAGGTCTTCTTAGGTCCATTCTTGCCATACCCTTATATAAAGGTAGTCTGATTTGCCGTTTTTAGTTTTTCCCACCAATTACCAACCAAATTACTTTTGAGGTTCTCAGTGGGCATTGAGTTTGAAGAGAGAACGCACATATATGGCGTTCTCGTGTATTTCTCTTTATCAGGTGAATTTGTCCGAAAATAAAATAGTAACATGATTGGCAGATCCTGAAATTGGCTGAAATTTCAGCCAATTGCCATACAGCTTAGATAGTTTTAATAGTTTTCTGTTTCCGTACTTTCTGGGCGAAGCAGTTATCTCTGAGCGAATCTAACATTTCTCCTTTTTTCAATTAAAAAAGTACGGCAACACTACAATAATGGTTCTTTCTGATTTCGCTTTTTATACCCTACACCACATAGTGGTAAGGGTATTATGTCTTTGTGCATTTGTTTGTAACATGGAGAAGGAAACGAGATAGACCCATAGTTACTTTTGAGAACCTTCATAGAATCACTTTCTGAGTCGATTTATACATGTCAGTCCGTCTGTCCGTCCGTCCGTCCGTCTGTCCATGTATTCTTGTGAACAAAATGCAGGTCGCATTTATTATCCGATTGAGATGAAATTTCCCAAACAATATTTTTTTGGCCCAAGGACGAACCCTATTGAAATTGGTGAGAATCGGATCAAATTTAGATATAGCTCCCATATATATCTTCATCCGATTTCGGGTTAAATGTGCACCAAATATCCACTATCAGTCCAAATTACCTGAATTTTGGCACACCCAACCGAGTTCGGCCTAGAAGCAAGTATATCAAATTTGGAGAAAATCGGTTCAGATATAGCTATAGCTCCCATATATATCTTTCATCCGATTTGATCTTTAAGTCCCTCATATTCCTACTATGCACTCCACAACCGTGATATTTGGTACCAGGTATTAGATGGAGCACATAAATAGCTGTTTTAAATTTTATCGAAATCGGTTCAGATTTGGATATAGCTCCCGTATATATCTTCATCCGATTTCGGGTTAATTGACCACCAAATGGCCAATATCAGCCCAAATGGCCCGAATTTTGGCACATGTGACCGAGATTAGCCTTAAAGCAAATACAACAAATTTGGAGAAAATCGGTTCAGAAACAGCTATAGCTCCCATATATATCTTCATCCGATTTCGGGTTAAATGTGCACCAAATGTCCACTATCAGTCCAAATAACCTGAATTTTGGCACACCCAACCGAGTTCGGCCTAGAAGCAAGTATATCAAATTTGGAGAAAATCGGTTCAGATATAGCTATAGCTCCCATATATATCTTTCATCCGATTTGGTGTTTAAGCCTCTCACATTCGTAATATGCACTCCACAAGAATGATATTTGGTACCAGATATAAGATACAGCCCAGAAATAGCTGCTTGTAATTTTATCGAAATCGGTTCAGATTTGGATATAGCTCCCATATATATCTTCATCCGATTTCGGGTTAATTGTGCACCAAATGGCCGATATAAGTCCAAATGGACTGAATTTTAGTACAGCGGACCAAATTCAGCCTAGAAGCTAGTATGTCAAATTTAGTGAAAATCGGTTCAGATATAGATATAGCAACCATATATATGTTTCATCCGATTTAGTGTTTTAGTCCCTTACATTCGTAATATTCACTCCACAACCGTGATATTTGGTACCAGGTATTAGATGGAGCACAGGAATAGCTGTTTTAAATTTTATCGAAATCGGTTCAGATTTGGATATAGCTCCCATATATATCTTCATCCGATTTCGGGTGATTGACCACCAAATGGCCGTAATAGCATCAATTTTGGCAAATCCGACCGAAACCAGCTTAGAAGCAAGTACACCAATTTTAGTAAAAATCGGTTCAGATATGGCTATAGCTCCCATATATATCTTTCATCCGATTTGGTCTTTAAGTCCCTCACATTCGTAATATGCACTCCACAGGAATGATATTTGGTACCAGATATCAGATAAAGCCCAAAAATAGTTGATTTTAATTTTATTAAAATCTGTTCCGATTTGGATTCATCCGATTTCGTGTTAATTGTGAATCAAATGCCCAATATCAGTTCAAATGGTATGAATTTCGTTCATAAGACCGAATTCAGTCTAGAAGCTAATACGTCAAATTTGGAGAAACCCGGTTCAGAGATAGCTATAGTTCGTAAAATGCACGATAGAATTAGATAGATTTTGATTTTGTACCAAA